CGCCCGCGCGCCGCGCCCGGGGGGTCATCGAACGGACGGGCAGAGGCCAAGGTGATGGCGATTCATTTGGCCGACCTGTCCGACGGCGACCCCCGGGGAAGGCCTCGCGGGCTTCGGCGGCGCGGGCTGGGGCGGCGGCGCGGGCTCAGGCCGGCGGCGCGGGCTCAGGCCGCCACTGCAACCCCGTGGGCCCCGACGGGGTGCGTCGCGCAAGCTACGAGTGCGACTCTGAAGCCGCCGCGGACGCGACTGCCCCAGCGCCGCAACCATGGGCGCGCGCTCATCTCGATTGCCTGCGCCCCAGCACCGCTGCCTCCGCCGGCGCCCTCACTATTTTCGCGCCTGGGACAGCAGGGGGCGCCGGGGCCATCCGGGTGGCAGCTCATCCCAGGAGCGCGCGCGGCGCAGACGTCGAGGGCCCCCGTCCGGGACTCCTCGGCCAGCGGATGCGAGTGTTAGGGGGGGCAATCCCACGCAGAGCGTTGAGCCCTGGGACGGCGGCCAGCCAACTCCAGCAGCGCCGGCGCCGCGGCCCGCTCCGCCAGCGGCCGCATCAAGTGCGTCGTCAGACGGCTCCCGGCAGACAGCTGGCGACAGCCGGTGGCCCCTATGGGCGGGCATGTCGTTTTCATCGTCGTCATCGCCCAACTCCCGCGACGCCGAATTCCGGCGATTTCGACGGGGGGCGACGGAGCTCCAAGCTTCTGCTCGGCCGCGACATCACCAACAAAGCCAGCGGCGAATCGCAGAGAGACGCGTGCGACAATATCGGCTCTACTAGTGGCCATCATGGCTTCAACCTGCAGGCCCATCGGACGTTGGGCGACGTTCAACTGCGCGCAGAAATTCCCCGCCTGGCTGCGCCCCCGCGAAGGCGCGGCTCCGCGCGGCCGCATCTGCGCAACGCTGCGCAGCTGCCGCTCGAGCCAGGCGGTTACTTCGCCAGCGAGCAGCCCGACCCATCGCGGCTCTACGGGGGGCCGCCGCGGCAAGAGGCGCTGGTAGCAACTGGCGTTGGGCACGGTCGTCTTCGACCATTGGGCGCTCGGTCTTCGGGGTCGCCGCGTAGGCGTCTTGAGGGGGGCCGCCGAGCTGGTCTCCAACGCCCAGGAGGTCCACGAACCGTTCGTCATTTGTCAGATGCTCAGGCAAGCGCGCCCACGTCCACGCCGAGGGCAAGAACAGCGTCGACGCCCAGATTTGGCCATGGAATATGACCGAAGGACCTGTCCAAGGCATGTCCTACGCCGCAGTCTGAGTCGTCAGCATCTCGCGAACGAAGTCCCCGATTGCGGAGCCGCGGAGGGCGAGATCCGCAGCGATGCGGCCGCTGGGCGCCCGCGTTGCACGCGCGCGGCGCGCAGGCGCGACGTGCGCGTCAAAGATCCGGCCACGCGCCGCTGCCGCCGTAGTGCCCCCACCCACTGGGGGCGCCCCGGCTGCCAGGAGGAAAGGGGGCGCAATCGCCGCCCGCGCGCGCCGCGAGTTCAGCAAGTGCAGTTTCGCGGGCCCACCAAGATGGCCGCGCCCGCGCGCCGCCGGCGCGAGGTCCGCGCCGCTCCAACGACCGGCAAGCTCGCCTCCCCAGCGGTGCTGAGTTTGGAGCGGCAGACGAGGCCGATCTGCCACCGGCGCCAGCAGTTTCGCCGGGGGCCAGCTCGTTATCCAGCGCTGGGGCTCCAGGCAGCGGCGCGGGCGACTGCGTTTCCCGACCGCGGGTCCGAGCCCGTCCAGCGACGGGCGCAGTGCCGAGACGGACAGCATTACGAGCTGCCAACGCAGCCGTTGACAACCCAGCGCCCGCCGAGTGGACTCGCTTCGACGTCGCTGCGAGAACTGCGCAGCGCATCGCATGAGGCGCGCGCGCGAAGGCTGCGCAAGGCAGACCAGGCGGCGGCGCACCGCAAAGGAGGAGATGGCGCGAGCACTGCGCGCAACCAACCAACCGCAAGACACCTTCAACCTCATCTCCACAGAGCGCAACGGGTGCAGGGAATGCCGGAAGCGGCAGCCACCAGCGCGCTAAAAGAGCCCTACGTTCAGCCTGTCGACGCGATTTAACTGGCACGTCGAGTGCGACGTCCTCTTCGGCAAGGATCGCAGGATCATGCGTGTGATTTGTTGCGCCCCGCGCTAGCGCGCTGGCCGGGGGGTCTCATCCACGCGCGACTCGACGTTGCGCGCTGCCGTCGGCCGTTCATGGAGCCAGCTATTCGGCGCGATGGAGACGTTCATCCTGGGCGGCGACGGCTGCGCGATCTCAACGCACTTCGCGGAGGAGTTGAGGTGGTGAGGAGTGCGCGTGGAGACATGAGCTCCGCGACATCACGCCCGTCTCATATAACAGCGGGGCGCCGCGCTGCGACGCGCATTCAATGCCGCAGAAGAACGGCTAGATCATGATGGTTCCACGGCGAGTTTCGACTCTACGCTGGCTCATGCCATTTCTGTTGGCAACAGCCTCACCCGCGCAGGCGGCGTTGCACCGTGCAACGTCGTCTTCGGAAGCAGCCCCCCATCTTGCCACCGCTCGGAGCATATGAAGAGGGTGAGATGCCCGATGCCTGCGGCACTGGCGCCAGCCCTCCTGCTGGTGGCGGAGTGCAGAACAGCCGGCTTCATTGGCGAATCCGAGAGATTGCGCTGCAACGCATGATCGATGCCGCTTCGATCTCGCGCGCCAGCTGGACGCGCGTGCCGCGCGTCTGATGCGCGGCCAGAAATCCTTGGGCGATCGGCCCAGCTGCGCCTGCAGCCCGCTCTTTCGGCGGGCCCCTCAGGATTCCAGTGACATCGACGGGGTCCGAGGCCCGTCAGCTCATCGGCGAGCCGCGGAAGGAAGCTCGCGCCATTCAGTTCGAGCCGCCGCTGGTTGCCGACGCCGGATTTTTCGACGACGGCATCGTCGACGCCCCGAGGGCCATTGAGGGGGCGTCCACATGGGCCTCGTCGGCCATGCCCGAGGAGACCGACAGCGACATACGGGCCGCGCTCACATTCAGCAGGTGATGCACGCAGTTCGGCGCGAAGTCGAGGGGGCAGAAGTTCTGCCCCAGGAGCTGGGGGGTGCTGGAGAGTGCCGACAGCCAGCATGAGGTCCATGCCGATGTCGAGCACGCCGCTGCCACTCTTGGCCGCAGGCCGCGCGAGCGCGGTCAGCGACTTGAGACTCAGAGTTCGGGTTTTCTCACGACTCGGAGAACGGAAACACGACAAGAGAAAACTGAGACACGGCAAGGCGCTGCTTTTTCACGACAAGCAACAAGCAACTTCGCCACCCACTTTCGCCGCCCACTTTCGCCGCCCGCTTTCGCCACCCAGTTTCGCCGCCCACTTTCGCCACTCACTTTCGCCGCCCACTTTCGCCGCCCACTTTCGCCGCCCACTTTCGCCGCCCACTTTCGCCGCCCACTTTCGCCACCCACTTTCGCCGCCCACTTTCGCCGCCCACTCTTCGCCGCCCACTTTCGCCACCCACTTTCGCCACTCACTGTCGCCGCCCACTTTCGCCGCCCACTTTCGCCGCCCACTTTCGCCGCCCACTTTCGCCGCCCACTTTCGCCGCCCACTTTCGCCGCCCACTTTCGCGGCCCACTTTCGCCGCCCACACTTTCGCCGCCAACTTTCGCCGCCCATTTTCGCCGCCCACTTTTGCCGCACTTTCGCCGCCCACTTTCGCCGCCCACGCCACCCACGTTCGCCGCCCACATTCGCCACCCACTTTCGCCGCCCACTATCGCCGCCCACTTTCGCCGCCCACTTTCGCCGCCCACTTACGTTCGCCGCCCGCTTTCGTTCGCCGCGCACTTTTTCTCGCCACCCACTTTCGTTCGCCACCCACTCTCGTTCGCCGCCCACTTTCGTTCGCCACCCACTTTTGTTCGCCACCCGCTTTCGTTCGCCGCTCACTTTCGTTCGCCACCCACTATCGCTCGCCACCCACTTTCGCTCGCCACCCACTTTCGTTCGCCACCCATTTTCGCTCGCCACCCACTTTCGTTCGCCGCCCACTTTCGTTCGCCGCGCACTTTCGCGGCGAAAGTACTTTCGTTCGCCGCCCTTTCTCGTTCGCCGCCCGCTTTCGTTCGCCGCGCACTTCCGTTCGCCACCCGCTTTCATTAAATTTAGTTCGCCGCCCACTTTCGTTCCCCGCCCACTTTCGTTCGCCGCCCACTTTCGTTCGCCACCCACTTTCGTTCGCTACCCACAAAATGGGTGGCGAAAGTGGGCGGCGAAAGTGGGTGGCGAAAATGAGCAGCGAAAGTGGGCGGCGAAAGTGGGCGGCGAAAGTGGGCGGCGAAAGTGGGCGGCGAAAGTGGGCGGCGAAAGTGGGTGGCGAAAGTGGGCGGCGAAAGTGGGCGGCGAAAGTGGGTGGCGAAAGTGGGCGGCGAAAGTGGGCGGCGAAAGTGGGCGGCGAAAGTGGGCGGCGAAAGTGGGTGGCGAAAGTCGGTTGGGACGCACATCTGGACCCGATGATGCCGCGAATACAACATCAATCCATCAATCCATCCCCCCCGGGGTTTCTTTTCCCCGCGTTGAGTTATCGTTGGACTTGTTCGCGAGTTTCTGGTCATTGTCCCCGCTCGTAAGTTAAGCCTTCCACTGTGGAGCGCACGTTCGAGCTTTTGCAGGAGGAGGGGGAGGGGCAGGGGGGAAACAGGAGGAGCGGGAGAGGACGCACCAGAGGGAGGGGGACGTAGATGGACGGCTGAAAATAATGAGGAGGAGGAGGACGAGGAGGAGGAGGAGGAGGAGGAGGAGGAGGAGAAGGTGAGGAGGGACGAGGGGCCAGGGGAGGAGGCGAGGGAGGAGGAGGGCGAGCGGGAGGAGGGGGTGGAGGCGGGTGGGGAGTGATGATGGAACGCAGGGAGAGGAGGGAACATGGAGGGAGAGGAGGAACACGGGAGAAGGAGTGAGCGGAGGGAGCAGGGAAGGGGAGAGCGGAGTGAGGCGTGTGGGTAGTAGCGAGGAGGTGAAGTTGAAGTGCGGAGCTTCGGTAGCCGTTTTGGCACAAACGCTGTCCCGCGCACCAGGCTTCGGTGCGCCCCCCCATCGCCCCCCCCACCTGGGAGACAGGCCGTCAGCGACCTCGCCCGACGCCGCCATGCCGCGCACACCGCTGATGAGCTCCCTCCTCGTGCTGGCGCTCTTGGCCTTCGGCCTCCGCTACGCCTTCGTGCCAGCGCCCCAGGCCAGCGCCGTGCGTTTCCTGGAGCTCTCGCCCGCTGCCGCAGCTGCGCTGGCGGGCGCTGCGCCCGCGGTCGCAGCAGAGATCGACGCTGCGGAGGCGTACAACCGCAAGGTCCTGGAGGGCGCTGCGTACGGGGGCATGCTGTGCATCTTCATGCTCGGCCTCATCGTCCAGGGTGTTAGGATCGCCATGAAGAAATAGGTCCTAGGCGTGTTTCGCCGTTTCCGGGCTCCTGGGACACTTCTCGGATGAAGAACAGGTCCCGCGGAAAATTGGGGTGCCGGACTTGTTGCCACCAGGACGTTTTCCTTCATGGTAATAGGAGGGACGTGGGCAACAAGTGGCTCAATTGA